GGTTCCCCAGATAAGAGGAAGCACACTTACTGTGCTCAGTGTCCTGGATTTTATGCGTATTGCCAGATGCACTTCCTTGAGTTAAGAATAGACTCTTTATTCTAACATGAACTGACAAGACTGTGTTTCAATGTCAGCTGTAGAAGAAGCAGGGTCCAGGTCTGGGAGAACATTGAGAAAGGCCTGACTCTTGTTTCAGGTCTAAGGTAGACAGAAAAAGGTTCTGTCCACTAGGTAGAGATCCAAGCGGGTGTGTTCACTTAAAGGTCCCTGGGGGGTTGAAAAAAAAGAAGCTCAAAAAACAAACATACAAAGATACATTTGTGGATGGGGCAGTCATTTGATTGTCCAATTTGGGTTTTGAACAGCTATCATTCTCCTCTTTTCTTTACTAAAAAGATGACTTTTACACTATGGGGGACACCTATCACCTTTGCCTGCTCAACATCCATCCTCTTTCAGTAACAGCTTCTCAGTGTTTGATGCCTTTTAAATGACACTTTGACAGAGGGATCACAGTGTGACAGTTAAGGGCAGGGCTCAGGAGCCAGGCTGCTTGGGTTTTATTCATCTGTGCTGTGTGCCCTGTGGTGTGTTTCTTAACTTCCAAATCTTGGTCTCCTCCACTACATAATAGGAATAGCAATGTTACCTACTGCCTGGAATTGATGTGAGGATTGATAAGGAAATATGGTAAAGCAGTTCGAACAGGGTCTGATACATGATATGAACTTGGTTAAGTGTTAACTATTATTATGAAATTCTTACATCACAATTAATTTTCTTAGGGACTTTATAAACATGGCCTCTATCACTGAATGTAGCTTTAGAAGTCGATGAAAGGCTGGTATAATTTTTTCCCCATCACATATAACTTGATTTTTTTTTCCCTGAGAAGACCAAAGGACTATTTATTTAGAGATAAGTAGTTTTACTAGGACAAGTCTTGATACTGATGATCATCCATATATTTTCTTTTTATTTTTTAATTTACAATTTAGTTTACAATGTTGTGTCAATTTCTGGTGTACAGCATCATACTTCAGTCATACACGAACATACATATATTCGTTTCCGTATTATTTTTCACCACAAGTTACTACAAGATACTGAATATAGTTCCCTGTGCTGTACAGTAGGAACTTGTTGCTTATCTGATTTTATATATATCAGTTTGTATCTGCAAATCTGGAACTCCCAATTTATTCCTTCCCACCCCTTTTTCCCCCTGGTAACCATAAGCGCGTTTTCTGTCTGTGAGTCTGTTTCTGTTTTGTAAATAAGTTCGTTTGTCTTTTTTTTTTTCCAGATTCCACATATAAGTGCTATCATATGGTATTTTTCTTTCTGGCTTACTTCACTTAGAATGACCATCTACAGTCCACCCATATCGCTGCAAATGGAAAAATATGGAATGCTTCACGAATTTCAGTGCCATCCTTGCACAGGGGCCATGCTAATCTCTAAATCATTCCAATTTTAGTATCTGTGCTGCTGAAGCGAGCACATCATCCATATATTTTCTGATACATGATGTACCCCTTCAATCTGTAGATTAAGGTCTGTCTTCATTTCTGGAAAGTTTTCTTGAATAACATCTTTGAATAATTTTTAATTGAAGTATAGTTGATTTACAATGTTGTGTTAGTTTCTGGTGTACAGCGTAGTGATTCAGTTATACATATATATTCTTTTTCATAATCTTTTAATTAAAATATATTTTGTTCATTATTTCCATCTCTTCAGAAGGAATGCCATTTATGACTATATTGAACTTCCTTTGTGTTTCATATAATTATCTTGCTAGTCTTTGCTCCTTTCCAATTTATTTTCTCACTGTTCTTGATATGTTTTCTATATCCCTTAAAAGGTTATTTTTAAAAATCAGTTTTCTTTGTGCCATTTCCAATGTAGTCTTCCTATCTATGGTGGCTTTATTCTGTTTCCTGATCCTTTCCCGAGCTGTCCAGCTAACTCCTCTAGTTGTCCTGCCCTATCTTTGCTGAGCAAATTCTTGTTATAGACAATTAAAAATTTTTTTGATATGTCTGAACACAATTTTCATCTATTCTAGAGCAATTTTTTTCTTGTGTTGAATCTTCACTTCTGTTGTTCTTCCTATTCCTTCTCTCTCTTTTTTCAATTGGAGGACTTCTGTAAAAATGTTGCGCTGGTTCTACCCTGATTTCTCATCTGAACTAGACGAGTTTCTCCATGAACAGCTATTTGCAAGAGGCTCACGGCAAGGAGGGGACCTTGGACATTTTCCAGCCTAGCTGGACTGTTTTTGTATCAGGCTCAGGTTCTTTGTGACCCAGGTTTTTGACTGAGGCTCGTTTTGTCTTTAGCTCTTTGAATAGAGAGCTGAAACAAAATCTCCGAGTCTCTCTTCTCGACCCTGCCTCCCTGCTGGACTGCTTTCTGCAATGGTGGAAATTATGCGTGATTCCTCATTCAGCTATGCTTTTTCTGTAGTGTGATTATCATGTACAATGTCCACAACCTATGCTGATCATCAGTATACAGGCACTCCTTGTTTTATTGTGCTTCACAGTTATTGAGTTTTTTATAAATTGATGGTGTGTGGGTACCCTGTGTCAAGCAAGTCTATCTGTGCCATTTTTCTAACAGCATTATTTTATTTTATTATAAAAACTGAAGTACAGTTGATTACAATGTTGTTAGTTTCTGGTGTACAGCAAAATGATTCAGTTATATACATGTGTGTGTGTATATATAGGTCCATCCATGTTGCTACACATGGCATTATTTCATGCTTTTTTATGGCTGATTAGTATTCCATTGTGTGTGTGTGTGTGTGTGTGTGTGTGTGTATCGCATCATCTTTATCCATTCATCTGTCAATGGACACTTAGGTTGCTTCCATGTCTTGGCTACTGTAACTAGTCCAACAGTATTAGTTTTTAATGAAGGTGCATACATTTTTTTTTAGACATATGCTATTACACACGTAACAGACAACAGTATAGTGTAAACATAACTTCTACATGCACTGGGAAAACAAAAATATTGAGTGACCCGCTTTGCTGCAACATTTGTTTTATTGTGACGGTCTGGAACCAAACCTGCAGTATCTCTGATGTGTGCCTTTATGGGAAATATGGCTAAGCAAGTCTTAACTATTTCTAGAAACTATGTATACAATTTAAGGTAGCATAACTTTTGCAGGATTTGTGAGGTCTCTAACATCAGAGTGTTGTCAAACCATCCATTTGATGGAGATGATATGCCCAACTTTAAATAAGAAAACATTTTTCCTTTCAGTATTTCTTGTTGAGATTTAACCAAGGTGTTCATATAGGGCTATATGAGGTCACCTAATAAAACATTTATGATCAATGCATTTTTAGACCAAAATGTTCTTAAGTTTTCAAGGAGGAATGATATTTTGGATAAGCTTTTCATCATATGAAGAAAACACACTGATTTACAAATCCTAAAACCATCGAGTTTATATACCACTCTCCCTCTTACAATCTGGATTTTATAGGCTCAGCTAGGTAAAGTGTCTTAAACCAGACTTAGCAGCAGACTTGAGACTTAAGCCTAGTTTCCCAGATTTCTAGACTTCTAGTTCTCTCTACCACCCCAGCCTGCCTTCCTGGTTTATCATTTTAGGCATTAAAGGTAGAATAGAGGCAATTGAGACATTTTCAATTGTAACCTATGCATTTGCTTTAGATAGTGTATATCTCCCTCCACCACCTGTCCAGGTCTGAACCTGGGCCACACAAACCTGATCTGTTGGCAGGATAGTTGGTTGGAAAAGAGCTTGATGGGCATAAAATTAGTAACTCTTTAATGATGGGTGTACGGTCAGGCCACTCAAGATGGCTGTTCTCTTGCTCCCTGTGCGTCCTCTGCTGGACCAGGGCCACCTTCACCTGTATCCTACTCTCCTGACTGATCTTCCTATGTACTTGCCCCAGGCCCCAGTGATTATGATTGTTCTAGTTTTAGATCAGAACTCCCCTATAACTGGTAATCCACCCCCCCCTCCGGAGTGAAGACTGCTGCCATGTCCTCCCGCTGACCACCTCACATGGTGGGGTATCTCTCCAGGGCCTTGCTTCAGACGTGTAAGCTCCCCTGTCCATTAAAACACTGATGCCTCTGTTGCTAACTCGGGGTTCTTTCTTCAGTCTTGAAGCTGGGCAAGGACAGGCCTTGTGGGCCTGTGGGGTGCAGCCCAACAGTGGGTTATTAAGCAACCTCCACTTTGGGTTCTGTAATAAAATTTTTAAGGGCTTAAAGGAAATATAAAGACTTGGGACCTAAACTTTAGTGATCTGGAATATCTGGCATAGCTTCCTGGAGTAGAATTGTTAGGGAACACACAGCTTTTGGCTGACAGGTAACAGCTAATTGACAATGGGGTGGAAGGAGGAGCTAGGCAGCCATCATCTGTTCCTCTAGAAAGCAGAGCAGGCTGGAGGGAATGGGCAGGTACTGGAGGACAGTACAAGCAAGGGTCCCCAGGTGAACAGCATGCGGCCACTTCCAGGGTAGAGTTTAACCGTTCTTCGGGAGTGGTGGTTTTGTTTTCTAGTGCAGTTTCCAGGATCAAGATCTCTTATTACACACGGTGTCCAGTAAGGGAGGAATGACCACACTAAAGCCAGGCTGAATTTGTCTTTGGTATTTCCACTTCCTTTTTGGGTGATGGGATCCATCCTTTGGGAATTGGCCTCATCAACTCCCCATTCAGCGTTTGGGTCTTTTCTCCAGGACCTAGTCCAGCTGAGGGGAACTTGATAATGCTGAATGAACAGCATAATGGGCAACGTGGGAGAGAAAGAAAACTCCCCATGGCACTTCCACCAGTACAGCAAATACCACATAGCTGTCCTAATTCTGTTTCTTTATCCCTGCAACACCCATTCATGCATCCGCTACTATGTGTTAGTTACTGTGCTGGGTACTGGGGATAAAGTGGTACAAGAGGCAATAAGTTCCTTGTGCTCATGGACCTTACGGGCTGGTGGGTGAAGTGGTGGCCACAGAGCCACGTGCACCCTCTTCTGCTTTCACTTCACCTTTCCTCCTCCTGGAAAACGATGTACCTTTGAAAGGAGGAAAATAGACACTAACACCACTTCTTTAGTTCTGGGGACACAAGTTGAGATCGAGAATTGTTGTTATGAGCTCTGGAGGCTCATCTCTGGGCAAGAAGCAAGGCTGAAATAGAGAGGAAAGAACTGGATAAGGAGTGAGAGGAAGGGAAGGAGGGGAAAAAAGGATGAGAAGATGCACAGGATGGGGCATGGGAGAGTGTGGGCAGGGATGTTAATCATGCCTGGTTCCTACTCTTCATATTGCCTGACCTTTGACCCCAGTAAACGATATTCTAGATCTTCAAATATATTTCTTCTTCTTTTTTTTTAATGGAGGTACTAGGGATTGAACCCAGGACTTTTGCACGCTAAGCACATGCTCTACTGCTGAACTAAACCCACCCCACTATTTCTTATTGAAGTGGTGCTGTTTGCCTTTGGCGATGTGTCCCAACTTTGAGAGACGTTCCCTAGTAATCCACATTGGAAGCCGGGTTTGTCGATTTAGTGTGTTTCTAACAGCCAGACCCCCATTTGCTCTCCTCAGCCTGGAGAGCCTTAAGCCAACAGCCCCTGAAAGACGGAATCCAGCAGGCAGGTGTGGAGGAACAGGGAGGCCAGGTAATCTTCAGACTTCCTTGGGGTTGGGGAAGGGGTGGAGGGAGGGGAAGAGGTGGAGGGAGGGCACTGGGCCTAGATGGCTTCCACTGGCTTTGGAGAGGGCAGTCGGCCTGCGTCCAGTCTGTCAGAGCGAGGAAGAAGGTGCTGGGTAAGTTTCCTTTTCAGGGAGTAGGATTTTTTTCCCCTCTTCTACAGTGAAATTGGAATAGTCCTGGGAAAATGGGACAGGTGTCACCAAGCAAGAGACAGGACTGTTTGCCCAACTCAGCTGAGGGGCCCTCAGGGAGTGACAGTCTTGATACAAAGAAAACTGTAATTTTTTGATAGTTCTTGCAGGTTGGGGATGGGGATCCGCACGTGGCTCACCTTCTGACACGTGGACATGGGAGATGGATGGACAGTCAGAGTACACCTTCGAGATGGGAGGCCAGAGGGAGCTCTGGGTGCGTTTCTCCAGCCTGTAGGAAAGGATGCTACCAGGTACCTGCCCCAGGACAGGGTTCCCCACTAAACCCGCTGTGGCTGGGCTTAGGAGGGGCGGCCCTCCTGTTCAGGAGGATGTGGGTCTAAGTCTCTGGGTTTTGGCCGGCGGGGA